CCCCAAAACCCCAAAACCCCAAAACCCCAAAACCCCAATATAGAATTAATAATTGAAATAATATAGTGAGCTTCCTCTCTACAAAATGACTGACAACGAAGATAGTGGATTTATCGACCCCGATTTCATGCCAAAAGGTGCAGAATAACTAACTAATTAATCCTAAAACTAAGGTTCTTAACCCAATAAATGGCCCTTAAGAGGTCTTCCTTTCTAGACTCTCTGCTACTTACTTCTGGCCTGTTTTTAACAAAATTTTCGCTTGGAGAATTTCTCTAAAAACTACATTTCAAGTAGTTTGGCTAAGATATTTGCCAGGAGATCAACAACTTCTTAGATTCTTGGAAATCTCTAAGAATTTAGCATATTGTAAGCTTTGGGAAGTGTCAGAAAAATCTGAAATTCCTAATCTGAGACGAATTGTAACTCCAAAAGAAGTTGATCCCAATAACGTCCCTCTTGTACCTTTCATCAGAAATATCTAATAAGATCATATAGCAATGAACTCAGTTGATTCAGGAGAAAGTTTTAAAGAAGTCAATCTAAAAATCTTCCTGTTCTTCAATCCAGGAGGTAAGATCGGTACTAATGCTTTACTCAAAAATCCCAATGGAGATTTCTTCCCTCTAATCTTAACATAGGTCATGCAGATGCAGTGAAGAAGGTGCTGAAGAACAAGCTAAAAATTAACATTATTGTCAACTCCAACATCTTATGAAAAGAACTGATACAGTATGCTCTAAATGAATACAATTCTGCACTTGAGAGCGAAGAAAGCCAATACTATCTCGAAGATTCTTCAGATAGTATTGATAAATGCTATGAGCTCTGATATCCAGACGATGACGAAACTGGAGAGCCTGATGAAGACCTCCCTACTTTTGCTATGGATCAAAATGTGTCAACGATTGGAGAGAAATCCTTTACTCTTTTGGTGGCCAATCCTAAGCTTGCTATCAAGAATCAAGACTGAGATCTCCATCCAAATATCCAAGATCCTGAAGGGGAGGCTGATGCTACTAAGACTACAGCTAATGAGAAGTCTTCAGGGACTTTTAAGAGAATCAATTCTCTTGGATATTTAGTTACTATCAAAGAGGACGAATCAAGCACTAATAAGACTAAAAGTGATGAGATTATCTACCACAAAAGCACCCAGACTTGTTGCAAATGTACCATATTCTAACTCTATACTTAACCAAGTATCTAGAGTCTATGTGGGCAAACTGAAGCCTTAAAGCAAGGCTTGGCATGGAGAATTCCTAAAACCTTTATCATATAAATCTTTTCTTGCCCAATGCTGTCAATAGGTAGTAGCAACCTGATGGAGAGTTAAATTGCACTTCTTTGATCTAATATCTTATACTCTTTCAGACCTTTTATTCATTGTAATATCTTAAATCTGACTGTTCAGTTCCACTTTAGGGAGGGAAATATAGGACTTAGTTTTGGAAGTAACTTAAGCATGATGAATTTTGGGAATACGAGGTTTTTATCCTAAGTAAGAATTTCTGCTGGTATCACAAACTAAACTTATCCATGACACTTCTGATAATTAGCAATAAGCTGCTTCTAGCAGCTAAGGATAAACCCAGAGTCTTCTGTGGCAGTGCTGGCATATGCTAACATACTTAAATGTTGGCATCCAAAATTCAATGTGAATAAACCCATTTGGGGTTTTGGGGTTTTGGGGTTTTGGGGTTTTGGGGTTTTGGGGT